GGCCTAAACGGGCCGGCCAGGGCTAACAGCTTCCGATTGTGACCTTCGAGGTCATAATCAAATACACTGTAAAAAAATTGTGATTTTAACAGTAAAAGACTCTAAAAATACTACAGTAAAAACCTGTTAATTGGTTAACAGTAAGTTTTCATACTATATGCGGTGAATAAATGTAATTACATTTAATGTAATTTTACAGTAAAATACTGTTAGAAAGTATTTTGCTTTACAGTGCATTACAATGGTTCAATCAAAACAGATATTAGTACTTCAGTATGTTGGTTTATTAATATTACATCCGTTAATTAAATACGGTATTTTATTGTGAATTTAAGTAAAGTCAGTAAAACCTAAAATGTAGCTACCATATTTTTAACGGTGAAGTTCTGGCAACCACAGCTGCCGGTATTTTACCGTACATTTCACAGATTTTTTTTTTTACAGTGCACCTGAGCTGGGCTTGCTTATTTGATTTAATAACAAAAACCCAAAAGTTATATTTTAGGCAACTCTAAAAGCCCTTTCACATCAAAAGTGAAATTAGTAAGTCACTACTTACTCCCAATTTCTCTCAATATGGGGACAGGAGAGCTGCAAGTCAATAAATGAAAAAACTAAGTAACTTGCGTTACATATTTGAAAATGTAACTCAGATATTTTCTTGTAAATGTAAAAGTAAAGCATTACTTTACTAGTAACTTTGAAAAAAGTAATCTGATTACGTAACATGCGTTACTTGTAATGCGTTACCCCCAACACTGTTTAGGAGTTAGTTAGGAAGTCAGATAAAAAGTTGTAACAATGTTTCATTAACCACAAAACTTAGGAGGTCGAGATAAGATCATAATTGGTATCAGATGATTACTATGGCAATCTAAATAGGAAAAAAACGACAGACCCCCTATTTACCACTGGTTGGACAAACAGGTCTGGATGAAATTGGCCACGAATCATTGGTTTAGGGTGACGTTTACTTTCAGAGACCCTGAATATCAGAGCTTTGGTTTGTCTCACACCCCGTATAACCTCAAAAAGACATAATTCACCTCATGAGCGTGAGGGCCACTTATCAGAGGTGAAGGCCTAATAAAACCGACAAAACGTCACATTCTCACCCCCACCCGAATCACAGCACTCCCAGTGATGGAAAAACGAAGTGAGAACAATTCGAACTATGAGCCCGTCTGGCCACGATCCGACCCAAAACCTCCCACGGAGCTCCCAGGATCCTTCAGGATGAGAGATCCAACTCCCCTCGAGCCGTCAAAGAGACTCGCTCTGTCTAGTCGAACAAAAGGGGCAAAAGAAAAGCAGAATGTATCAGTCTGGACATAATCCCAGCTGACTTGAACCTGAAAGGAGTCCAGGTTGAGATGGTTCCCTCACATCCTGGAGCCAGCTGTTCAAAAGGTTTAATCTGGATCAGAATGATCTGGATTTGGAAATCCCAGGTTTTGCGATCCAGGTTTTGTGCTGGTTTTTCAAAGCAAAATTGGATTGGATCACCCTGATCCAGATACACACTTCTTCAGATTTCCAAATCTGGATTATTAGTGCTCTACGGAGCCCCTAAAGTTACATGCTGATGGGGGGAAAAAATGCAGATGTTTTGTTTTGCATTGCATTTACACAAATAACTACTTCTGACTGGTCCATCTCTGATGATTGTGCCAATGTAGTTTACAATCAGTGATTTAAAAAAAAACTTTAAATTAAATGTAATATTTTTGTTTGATATTGACAGCTGTTTGGGGATTTGGGGATATATGTTAAAATGTTGTATTTTTTGGACCAGTTTTAAAGTTTTATTACAATTTTGTTCCTGAAATCTACCCTTCTTGCTGGGATCAGAATAATCCTTTTTTTTTTTTTAAGTACCCCAATCTTACTAAAACATTTTGAACAACACAAATTAAGGATTTAATCCAGATCAAAACCAAGATTGGATTTTGTGATCTAATCCGAATTCGGAATCCTTTTTTTCTTTTGAACAACCCATTTTCAAGATTTGATCCAATCTGATCAGATTGCCAAAATCCAATCAGATTACTTTTGAACAACTGGCCCCTGACGTGCCGCCGGCCTCGAGGGCCACTCTGGCTGAAGACCTCAGAAACCTTCAGCAACGCTCCGTGATTTACTGTAAAGATGCGCATACATATTTCCCATAACACACAGTTAGTCATGCAGGAGGAGAGCTTTCCCACACACACCTTGAGGTTTGGGATTGCAGGATGATTCCCAGCAGTCCAGGACCTTACAGGAATCTCAAGCAGACGTGCTCTGGCTATTCAGCAACACCTGAGAATAAAAACGGGTCAACGGCTCAGTGTAAGAATGTCTGAGAAAACGAAACATCCAAAAATATGCATGAAATGAAATCTTTGTTTTCATGTGGTTTGGAAAAACCTTAGCACCACTTTCAGGAAATGTTTTGATTCATGGAAATATCAAGTAAAAAAAAAAAAAAAAGGCTTATTTTCTTTGCAAGAGTTTACACATCTTGAGGGTTATTTTCAAACATAGTTTCAAATGTACAACTTATATTTTTGAACAAAGTCTTCTAGTTGTTTTAACGTTTGACAACTTAAACTTAAGTGTTTCCATGCCATAAATTGAATTATACAGTATGCTCATTTTCAAAGATTTACTTACCTTCACACATACAGCCATGAGGGTCTGGAGGTGTTTGTGAGGTCATTTCCTGTTTACTTCTTGTCACATGACAACACAATTTATTCTTGCTTTTTTTTTTTTCATCATTTCAAATAAAAAAGGCATTATCACTGTGAAAGAAGCCCTCAATAAACCCAAGAAGAAAACATTGGAACAAACAAATAAATAAATGAATTAAAAATAAAATAATTTACAAATAACAAAAAGCAAATCTATAAAAGCAAACTTTTAATTACAAAATAACACTTATTTTGTATATATTGCAAGTATAAATCATTTTAAAATGCCACAGAACTTGCAGCAACTTCAACAAATCTACATTTGTGGAACTAACAAACATGCAAAAAAATAAGAAATCAGGAAGGGGGCCAACACTTTTTCACACCAGTGTAATCAATATATGATAACACAAAAATGTGATTTTCAAAAGCAGGTATTACACTGTTTGCGATTTGTGATGGTTGTATAGCGAGTACTACAATTTTTTTTGACTGCTTGATTAGGTTTTTAATTACAAGTTTCAAACAAATCAGTTTAATTAATATATTCCGAGAATTAATGATAAAAGCTATATACATAAGTCAATTTATATCGCTTTATTAATAAATTGATTCAGACACAAAAATAGACCTGCACTAAAGGTAAACGAAAAACATTTTTCACATACAGCAAAAAAAATTATCATTTGAATTTTATATTTATAACATTAAGGGAAAGAAGAAACCTCATGTTATATTGACTGGAAAATTAAGAGCTCTTACAAGATACTTTTTTTCCGTTAGTGTTGAGACTGACTGTAATTAGCATAGCAGTTTAATTTCTGACCAATAAACAACGATGAATAGTTTTAAATAAAATATTTTATCTATTAATATCTTATCATATTGCAGTTGCCACCATTTGATAATAGCTCATTCCTTTATCTTACTTTATTTTAATCATAAAATGTTTAAATGAGGGATGCTTATGGATTTCCCCCATATTAATTTCATTAGATAACAGCCTAAAGAGGAGAATTCGGGAAGTTTCAGGATTGTGTGTGTAACAGCAAAGGAAAGTGCTGCCCTCTTCAGGTGGAAAAACAAAAATGTGCAAATACTCCAGAGGAAAAAAAATAAATTTATTATTATATTCTTTAAATATAAATCACACACAAAGTAACTAAGTCACATTGGGCTCATCATTTATAGTTCATGAAACAGTCTGTGAGCGAAATCACTTGCTCTTTTTCTTCTTTTTGGCGGCAGGCACGTCCTGCAGGCCGTCATTGCTCTCGGCCGCTCTCTTTCTGCTGGTTTTATCGCTCACGTATCTGCTGAAGTCGCTCGTCGAGAGCTCGGAGGGCAAGATCTCATCCGACTCCTGTCGTCTGTCTTTCTTCTTTCTCTTCTTCTCTTTGTGATGTCCGTTTGCATTGGAGTCTATCTCTGCCGTGTCTGCGGCGGTTTGGTGGTTTTCTGACGTTTGCTCCAGGCCTCTGTCGTTCTGAGACTCTTTCTCACGCTTGTCTTTCTTCTTTTTCTTCTTGGGTTTCGCGCTGTCGATTGTGTCTTCTGTGGGTTCTGGTTCTGTAGTTGATTCTACCGTTGATTCCATTTGTTCGGTTTGGGCCACAAGCTCTTGCACTCTGAAAATCAATAAATTATTATTAGTAATGACACACTTATCTCTCAAGTCGATACTATTACAATACTTGGGTGCCAAATCGATGTATTGCATTTTTATTTTATTTTATTATTTTTACAATGTATTGCAATATATAAAATGGAGAGTTCCGGTCCTTGATTCTGATTGGCTGAGCCGCGGATACGCTGTTGTAAATTACTCTACAAACACACACCTTTGTTTACGTTTGTGTGTTAATCGGCAACCACTTTACTGGAACCATAACTGATTCTGAGGAACTACATTGTTTGGTGGAAGAATACGTTTTTTTATTAATATCATTACACTTCATTTGCTCTGTTTTATTCTGTGAAACCTTACTACGTATATGGAATAACCGTTTTATAAAAGCAATAAGCCCCAAGAAGCCGTGGTTTACAGTGAATTTATCACTGTAACTCCGCTTCTCGTCGTACCTAAACGCCCCTTAGCTGTTATAAATTCACTATAAACCACGGCTTCTTGGGGCTTATTGCTTTATTTTGTTTGCTTTTCTAACACTTCATACAAGCTGTACATGATACATGTACATGAGTTTTATTTCAGGAGCATCAAGCAGTAATGTACTACAAAATGGTCATTTCAAAACCCTGGACTTTATTTAAAAAAAAAAAATCAGTAAAGTAAAATTAAAAAATACTTTTAGTAAATAAATAAATAGCTACATTAAGCTGTTCCTGCCAATAAGAAAACAATAAATTGCATAAGAATTTTTTTTTTTTTACAAAAACACATAAAATTAAATTAAAGTTTTGATTTTGCCAGGAAAACCGAAACCCAAAAAAAAGTATATTTAATAATAATTTACTTAATAATCACCCCCCGCCCCCCCCTCCCAAGTCAAAACGCCAACCACCAGAACACTAATTAAACACCAATTCTTCAGTAAATTATTCTTTATAAACATGGACTAAAATAAAACGATTTTTTTACTCGATTTTATTTAACGAATAAAAAAAAATTATAAAAAACATCACAATAATCCACAAGTAATCCACACTACTCCAGACAAAATTTTTTTTTTTTTTACAAATTTGTAAAAAACAAATCCATAAGATTTTTAAACTTCAAACTGTTGTTTCCTGCTAAAATATGAGTCCATAATCCATAATAACGCTTCCTTCAGTGAAAAAGTCACTCAAATCTCCTGTTGTCTCTCACATCAATAAAAGAGCTGCTTTTGCTTGTAATCTGTGCAGATTTCTCTCCTGATTCAGATGAAATAACTTTCACTGGAAGAAGTGTTATTAAGGATTATGGACTCATATTTTAGCTGAAAGCAACTGTAACTTGTCTTAATGGTGGATTTGTTTCTTACAAACACGCAGCTTTTCACTTCTCAAGACATTAATTGATGGACTGGAGTGGTGTGGATTACTTGTGGATTATTGTGATGTTTTTATCAGCTGTTTGGACTCTCATTCTGACGGCACCCATTCACTGCAGAGCATCCACTGGTGAGCAAGTGATGCAATGCTACATTTCTCCAAATCTGATGAAGAAACAAACTCATCTTCATCTCAGATAACCTGAGGGTGCGTACATTCACAGCAAATTTTAATTTATGCCTGAACTATTCCTTTAACAGAGCTGTTTCCAGGTAAAAAAATAACAATAATAATAAAAATACGTTCACTGTACCTGGACTTCTCCAGCCGTCCTCGGATCAGCAGAACTCCTGCAGTATCGGCGTCCAGCTGGAAGACCTCAAACTCCAGGTTTTGTCCGACACTCAGTCCAGAGTCCCTCCACTGCTCTGAGCTCAGCAGACTGGGCTTCACCACCGACGCATTAAAGCAGCCATGAACCAGACAGCCCACGTGACCCACTCCCATTTTATTAATCACACCCTGAGCGACACACAGACACAACATTAAAGGGTTAGTTCCCCCAAAAATTTTAATTAGCCTGTGTTTTACTCACCCTCGAGGAATCCTAGGTGTATATGACTTTCTTCTTTCAGAAGAATTCAATCGGAGTTATATTAAAAATTGTCCGTGCTCTTCCAAGCTTTAGAATGGCAGTAGGTGGGTGTTTCTGTTCAACAGTCCAAAAGACGTCAAATAAAGCGAGCGCATCCATATTTATAACTAGAGATGCACCGATCGATCGGCCAGGGATCGGAATCGGCCGATTTTCCTCATGATCGGCCCGGATCAGTGATCGGTCGGTCAGTCTCACTTCTTTCCGATTCTGAGCCGATCCGTTTTGTTACCAGCGGCACAGGCAATATCAGCCGCGCATTCTCGCTCTCCGACGACCCCTTCTCTCTCACACACGTCTCATTCGCTCCGGTTAAATAGTGCTTGTATTGCGCATTATTTTAGTAATTCCCGCAGGTCTCGCGCTTATACCAAATGCGCGCACACCACCACTGATCTATATTAGTGGAGCGCACAAGCCGCGCTCAGTCTCAAACAGCTTGTGAGCCACAAACACCAAAATGAGTGGCTAACTGCGCTAAAACGTTCAAATACATACAAAATTGTTAAAATGCCGTCTTCAGTAACAGTATATTGGGTCCGTGGATAAACTCTTGAAGGAACCGCAGTCCAATATTCATGCTGCTGTCTGTCATGTTAATCAAAGAGCAAAAGACAAAGAAAATAATTTTCTGCTCTTGACTGAATACGTTTTATAACTTTAATGGTACGCATTAATCTGTATTTAATTTTTACAATGAAGACTACAGAAATTAAAGTAATCAAATGTAAAATAACACTGTATTTCTGTAGTATTTCTTACCTGAATAAAAACTTACTTAACCTGAAAAACTTACTTTCACAGTTCTCTTTATTCTATTGCATTTATTTGTGCTGTTGTTTGCCATTTTTTTTATTTGTTCTTATTTTATTACTGACTTTTTACTTGTGTTTTTTTATGAAAATAAAACTTTGCGTTGAAGAAAAGTAGATTTTTATTTGTATATGCTGTCAATTATAGTTCTTAGAAAGAAAACCGGAATCGGCAAAAATTGGTATCGGTATACCGGTATCGGTATCACACTAACGAAAAATCGGAAATCGGAATCGGCCAACAAAATTGCAATTGGTGCATCTCTAGATATTTTTCTTACAAAATCGCATGGATTCGCTACAGGAGGCCTTTATTCACCCCCCCGGAGCCGTGTGAGGCACGTTTTATTATGGATGCATGCGCTTTATTTGACTACTTTTGGACTGTTGAACAGAAACACCCACCTACTGCCATTCTAAAGCTTGAAAGAGCAAAGATAATTTTTAATATAACTCTGATTGGATTCATCTGAAAGAAGAAAGTCATATACACCTAGGATGCTTTGAGGGTGAGTAAAACACAGGCTAATTTTCATTTTTGGGTGAACTAACCCTTTAAAAACCATCAGCCAATTAACTCAATAATCATGCATAGAACATGACCTCTAGCTCATGAAGATCTCGTAAGACGTACCACGAGCTTCGATCCTTTCTTTGGTTTGAAGACTACGAACGACGCCTCGATGTTGAAGTGAATGAACCCTTGATCGTCATGAATATCTCCATGCTGTCCTACGACTTTAATGTTGTCATATGCCATAGGAACACCTTTCAGACTGCAAAACAACAGATGAACGAATGGCTGTTAGATATTTTCTTAGTTGTAATCTTTATTAACAAATGATGTTTAAGTTTCAGCTGAGTACAATAGTTGATTATCATAATTTCAGTCAAGAGAGCTCTAAGATTATACTAAACAAATTTTTAAATCACATTTTTTATTCACTAATTTGATTTTTTTTAATTATAAAATATTTTTATAATAATTTACACCAATCAAATTAATTAATAAAAATGTGATTCAAATACATAAGAACTATAACAAAATATAAAAGTAATAATCTAACATATTTTCCAAATAACACAGCGCTGCAACTTATGCAAATCTGAAAACAAATAAAATAAAAATTAAAGCTGTATACAAGCATCTAAACTGCACATAAGGCAATTTAAGTATGAAACATATAAACCTTTTAATGATATAATTACGTTTTTACTCCCATTTGTTGTTGAAACAAACATTTAAACAGTGGGTGTAATAAAACTTCATAACAGATTTATTTAAAAAAATAATAATAATGAAGACATTATTAACAGGTTAATAAAAACATAGGCTAATAAATATGCATATGTAGAGCAGCTGAAGTCAAAAGTTTACATACACCTCGCAGAATCTGCAAAATGTTAATTATTTTACCAAAATAAGAGGGATCATACAAAATGCATGTTATTGTTTATTTAGTACTGACCTGAATATGTGAAGATATTTCACATAAAAGATGTTTACATATAGTCCACAAGAGAAAATAATAGTTGAATTAAAAAAAAAAAAGACCTCCGTTATATTTAGCAAAATTCTCCTTTCTAGAGCAAAAAAAATGACTTGTTACCTAACTGAGTTCACAAACGTCAATGAAAACTTTCCATCACATATTGCAGAAAAGATGGATAATTAATTTAGTAGTTTTGTAATCTGCCTGTTATAAACTGCTCATTTCTACACAAACTACATGCAACTCAATCAAACTAGTGCACTAGTTTGTTTTCTGTCTTTGGAAGTTGACTGTATTAGATTCAACTGACTTTAACCAGCAGTAAAAGTATGACAACCTTACAAACAGAAAAAAGGGCTCCTCTTGATCCGCTTGTCACTGGAGCAAGACATATTTGTACCTTTTTTACCCCTATTAGGTACATATTAGTTCCTTAAGGGTAGGTATTACTTCTCTAAGGTAAAAAAAAAGGTACAATTATGTCCTTTTAAGGGTAACGTTACTGCTGCAATGACAAGCTGTTGCACCCTAAAAGGTACAATTTTGGCCCCCGTTTTTTCTGTGTGAGGAGTACCATGGTATTACCGTACTTCTATATCAAATAGTAGCAGTGACACACAACGACAAGTTTACAGAAAGTACTATAGCAGCCTATTTTTAAAGGTATTAAGGTTTTATTGACTGTATCATAATACTGAAAGACAAGCACTTATACACGAGTATCGTATAGTTATAAATACCGCGGCGTTAGCATCATACCGCGGTATTCCCACTGCAGCCTGTGGTTTTACCTGCTGGAGAATCTGAGCAGCTCGGCGTTGAGTTCCTCCTGTATACCGGTGCGTTTCTTCCGCAGGTACTGCGGCGGCAGCGCGATGTGTCTGCGGTGCGAGTCCAGCACGAGACACGAGTACCGCGCGCTCAGCAGCTTCACCGCGTCCGCGAACGACGGGATGAGACACGGAACTGGCGCGGAGACTCCGCCAGCGATATTTACACTGGATATCTGCGCTATCGTCGACACATCCGCGGGGTTTGTGACGGGTTTCGGAGCTCCGTCTTCCTGCGTCCAGTTCGCCATGCCGTACACATGTGGAGGAGCACGTGGTGCGTTCGCTCGCGTGTTCGCATGCGAAAAGTGCGGAGTGACGCGCGACCGCTGGCGGATAGGAGTGGAACTACACTTACAAATATAAATAAAATAAAATAAAATAAAATAAAATAAAATGTTGTTTTGGTTAATAGTAAGGAACTATTTATTAGTTAGAAACAATTAACTTTATTAATTATAATTATAATTAACTAAAATAAAAATAACAATAAAAAATCTAAATGATTAATTCTAAAATAAAATATAATACAATAAAATTAATCTCTTGTGATTTTGTTTTGATTTTTCTGTTGTTTTGGTAAATAGTAAGAGACTATTTAAAAGTTAAAAAATAAAAAATTTACTTTATTAATTATAACTAACTAAAACATAAAAAAATATTAAATATAAATTATAAATAACTAATTAAAAAAATAAATAAAATACAAATTTGAACAATATTTTTATGTTGTTTTGATAAATAGTAAGCAGCTATTTAAAAGTTAATAATTAACTTTCTTAATTATAATTATAATTAACTAAAATAAAAATAATTAAATATAAATTATAAATAATTAACCAGAAAAATAAAACAAAATAAAATGAGTCTTTTGTGATTTTGTTTTGATTTTTTTCTGTCGTTTTTGTAGATAGTAGGAGGCTATTTAAAAGTAAAAAACGAATTAACTTTATTAATTATAATTATAATTAACTACAATTTTAAAATATTATTCAATATAAATTATAAATAAATAATTTAATAAATAAATAAAACGTAATTTTGCTTGAGTTATTTCAGCTGTTTTTGTTATAAGCAGCTACATTATTTACACGATTATAATAGAAAGGAATTATTTAAAAGAAAAATAAAGAATAATTTAAATTAAATATAGTTTACAATTAATTAGAAATAATCAAAAAGAAAAATTAAAAAGAAAACTAAGAAATAACTTAAATATTAAATTAAACAAGATTTTTTATTGATTTATTAATGGAATAAATGAAAAAATGGATGAAGGGGACACTGACTGAAATAAAATAATAAAACACTTCTGAAAAAAAAATGTGAAGAGTTAGTCTAGTATGTATATTAAAGATGTAGACTATATTAAAACAAAACTCTTTGGTGTGTGAATTAAAAGTGTTACTGTGTGTTAATGGCTTAATCATCAAGTCAAGTCAAGTCACCTTTATTTATATAGCGCTTTTAACAATACAGATTGTGTCAAAGCAACTGAACAGCATTAATTAGGAAAACAGTGTGTCAATAATGCAAAATGACAATAGTAAACACTCATTTTTCAGTTAAAGACAGTTCATCATTGAATTCAGTGATGTCATCATCCAGCTCAGTTCAGTTTAAATAGTATCTTTGCAATCATTTGCAATCAAGTCAACAGTATCGCTGGAAATGAAGTGTCCCCAACTAAGCAAGCCAGAGGCGACAGCGGCAAGGAACCAAAACTCCATCGGTGACAGAATGGAGAAAAAACCTTGGGAGAAACCAGGCTCAGTCGGGGGGCCAGTTCTCCTCTGACCAGA